CCAAGGTCAGAAAGAAGGCCTGGGGTTGACCCTGCTGCCGGGAGGGTGATGTTGACGGAAGAATTTGGGCCCCGGGCGGCTGTGAACGCGGGAGGGCAGATGACCGGAGGGGCTGGTCTGGACCCTCAGGCCGCCGCACGGAGGGAACTGACCGGGTTCTAAACTGTTTGGAGGCGGAGCCGTTTGACTCCGGAGGCGGAGGGAGGGAGGATGGTATGGCGACGCACTGCTGTTCCCCGGAGCCCGGCCTCGGGCCTGGGGCAGGGGGTTGGGCTCGCTGGACGGGCTGGAGTCGAGTCCGGGCCCGGCTGCGATCCTTTCCTCTTCTGCCGAGTGACCCCTGTGACCGTGTGGAGAGGAGGGAACTGGGGCTGGGCACCCCAGAACGAAGGGGAGCCGCTGAAAGCCTTCCCCGTGGACTTTGAAGTGAAGAACCTAGGGGTCACCCGGTCCGATTCTGACATCTTCCTGATGCGGAGACAGACGGAGGGAGGCCGGCGGATGGACCTGCGTCCTTCCAGGCCCACGGGGCTTCCCTTTGCTCCATAATAGCCTCAGGTCTAAGGGAATAGGCGGGCTCGCCCTGACGCATGATGCTGTTTATTCTCTCGTCCCACGTCTTCATGGGCTCTGGATGGAATCGACTGCCATTCCCCGAGGACCCAGCCCTGGAGAATAGTTAATGCACGGAGTTAAAATTCTGGGAAGCTTCCTGAGGTCCTCTGGTCCAGTAGCGAGAAGCTGTGGTTCCTGCCACTTGTGCATGGGATTGCCGACTTGGGCCAGCCACGCAGGGAGTGAGGCATACAGCGCCTCTGTGTAGCCCACTTGTGCATGGGATTGCCGACTTGGGCCACGCAGGGAGTGAGGCATACAGCGCCTCTGTGTAGGAAATAAGACTAAATACTTTTGACTTTAGGGGCCCAGTGACCCCTGACCTGGCGGGGTTGGGAACAGAGCCCTTCCGCGCCGTTGGCTTGGTCTGACTGCCATTGTCTTTTCCTTCTCAAACCCAGTTGATGGTTTTGGGATCGTCTCGGGATGTCTCACGTGTCTGAGAAAGTCAAAATATTTCCTGCAAAAAGATTCTCTTTTATCCAACCCCGTGCGCAAAGGACTGTTTGCCCTGGTGGCAGATTTCCTTTCCTCTGGGACGCAAGTGACGCCGACATGTTTGTACTGGTCACTTGTTGTCAAAGAGGCCTGGACAGGGGTTTCTCGCCTACTTTTCTCTTCACCCCAAGTCCCGCGGTGCCCGAGGGACCAGTTCTGCCAGCCCCAGCTCTCTTGGTATCTCCGAGTTAGTTCACGTCCCTGGGTCTCTTTCCTCAGCTTCCAGGTGAAGGGTTGGTCAAAGATGGTGGTGTACGGACTGGGATGGCGGTAGAGGAGTGGGTGTGCGGCAAGGAAGCCCTTTCTGTAATCAGTACCGATCCTTGATCCCACGTATTGAGGGATTTATTTGTGTAGTGATTTTTCCCAGTAGGAAGGAAGCGTTCTGTTACTTCTGTGCCCAGTCTCTAGAAGATGACAGGGAGATTGGGGAGAAATGAAATGATGAAAAGTGATGGAACCAGCCCTCCTTAGAAGTACTAGTAGATGCTAAACAATAATCTGTTAACTAGTTGGCTAGGGAGACTAGGATCAATTACAGGGCAGCTGCTAAAATTAAAACCTGGTCTGTGGCATTAATGTGGAAAGTTATAATCTGACTGATTGTGTGGAAAGGTGTGGGCATGAAGCTGTAATCTTTCCAGTTATTAACGATAATGTTGAAAGAAGAATGTTTCAGGGACAGAATCTGCAAAGAGTCTAGAAAAAAAGTGAATTGAAGAACAAGTAGGGCTCATTCTTAACCCAGTTCCATCCAGAAGAGAGGGCGCCCACCAGGTAAAGAGAATTCTGGCACTTTGAGAAATCAGCTGAAGATGAATGAGGCGGGGCTGTTTCATGCGACCTTCCCAGAGTTTAGTGAAGTCGGCAAAACCAGCCCATCCTCTGTTCTTACACTCTGTTGGCTCTTGACATTCACATTCTTGTCACTGGGAGGATATAGTCCCCATTATAAATGAGGAAATCGGAAAGTTTTGGTCAGGCTCCTAAGTTTGGTAAGAGTGACTCAGCCCAAAGCACAATCAGCTGTTGTCACACTGATAAAAGTAGAATTTGGGACCAACATACTGCTGTTTCATGAGTTTCTTGGGGTGTCCACTGGCTTCCATTGGACATTGCTCTGTAACTTCTTCATATTCCTGTGAACATTTTCTGGTCAGATGAGGATGAAAGTAGCAATTTCTTGGCTCAAATCTATGCTAAAAACATCTTTAATGATTATTAAAACCTGGTATCCATCTAGTTTTGAGCTTCTAAGTACTTCAAAATAATGTGTAGATCTGACCCAGACTCCTGGGAGAAAGGTAGGGAAGCAGAAGTGATGATCTTATTTTGCAAACAGCTGAGCCTTAGAATGAGATAAGTGGCGTAGCCCTCTTCCTGTTGGTTGGTTCATGCTTTATCAGAACCGCACACCCACTATTTACCCTACACTGAATCCAAACTCATTCATAACGTTGGAGGGACTCAGAATGCTGCAGAGTGCAGGAAGTGAGTGCAGGATGGTAAGGTTTCTTCACTGTCCAGACTTCAACTCAGAACTTTAGATGAAGGGCCTGCCCCAGTAAGCCGCCCTCCTCACATAAGAAGATACTATATGCCCCAATTCAGTACTTTCCAAAAAGCTGTTTTTTCCTCTAGCTCTAAAAATTTGGACCTTTAAGAGTTTGCGCTACAGTAGATGCCGCTGCCTGTGTAACTTGGCCTCCAGGCAGCACTGTCCTGTGGCATTGTCCGCAGTGATAGGAACCTGCTCTGTCTGTGCTGTTCAGTGCAGTTGCCACTAGCTGAAATGTGGCTAGTGCGACTTAGGGACTGGATTTTTAATTGTATTTAATTGTCATGAATTAAAATTTAAATAACCACACGTGTTAGTGGCTACCATATTGGACAGCACAGTTCCAGGCAATTTGACTTAAAATTATACCTCCCATAATTTATTTCTCTTATCTAACTGAGGTTTGGAAGTTCTTCTGACAACACTTGGTTCTTGCATAGAAAACATACAAATTTTGTCTTTGTTGCACATCTTAGAACACACAGAACTGAGAAAGGCATCTGATTTTTCTTTAAATTTGTACGTTTTAAGCAGCTTATGCCATAGTCTCAAAGAAACAATCTGGTCAAGTAATTTATACCATAACACTAGGTGCTGTCGCCAGAATAATCAAGTCTGTGTTCAAGAGCAGCTTTTCCAGGGTTTGTCCAGAAAAGTAATTTAATACTTTGGAGGGCATAGAGCTTTTGTTTAATGTGGCAATTGGGAGAAAATCAGGGATGAAGAAAAACTAAAGATTAGCAACTACCATGAATCTCTATGGATATTCCTGGGTAGCACCATTTTCATATGGATTTTAAGGGTAAAATAGGCATTGTCACACGGAAGGGAGCAAAATGAAGTAACTTGGAATTAGAATTTCAGGAAATGTAGAAAGACCATAACCTTAATAAGGTGGAGTTTAAAAAGCTCAATCATTACTGTCTTCCTGCTCTTATTTATTCACAGTAGGCATTTAAAAAGCTTCTTTTGCAAAATCAATCACACCAATTTCAGCCCCACCTGACTGCTGCTATTTTATGTTTTTGCTCTTAGTGTGCCTAGTGATGGTGTGCTTCCAATTTTAACCTATGAGGATATCATAGGCTGAATTATATTTTTTCAGGCAAGAAGGCAAATTTATATGTTGTCATGGTTTACAATTTTAAGTATCTGAAAGGTGAATTGTTGTTTTTTTCTCCTCCTTGTGATTTAATTTCAGGAAAAGGAGAAGGAATGGCAATGAAGAGGACCACCATCTCCCCCCACAGACCAAAAGGAGTAGCAGAAACCCTGTCTTTCACGATTCCTGGGACACAGAGGTAGGAATTGCAGCGTTTCAACCTTTTCTTGAGCCATGGCCCCTTTGAGGAAGCTTTGCACCTTCCCCAGCAAAACAGTCTATGTCTGCCCTAGTCAGGCATGCTCCCCCCCAAATCTGTTTTGTTAGAAGTTTCATGAGCCTTTGCAAACCCTTCCTTGAACCTTCTATTTATATTTCACAAACCAACCTATTTTCTAATAGTTTATGAACCATAATTGTCGTTAAGGTAAGCATATTTTGTTGCTTCAGTTCACATATCGGTAAGAATATATAACTTATATGTACGCAGAATCCTGTTTTTCAGTGTTTTCACCCTTTCATTGTGCTGTTCACAAAGCTGCTCCGGAGGCAGAGTAGCGTGAGAGGGAAAGAGAGCTCCCAGGGTTCTGGCTTCCTGAGGGTGCTACGTATGCATGCGGGGTGAAGTCTTCGGAAGGCTGAGCCACAGTGCCGAAGGGAAGCTCACATTGAAGTGATGCTGTTATTAAATTAGGTGCCTAACGATTTAGACCAGCGGTTCTCAACCTGGGGGTCGAACGACCCTTTCACAGGGGTCGCCTAAGACCATCGGAAAACACATATATAATTACATATTGTTTTTGTGATTAATCACTATGCTTTAATTATGTTCAATTTGTAACAATGAAAATACATCCTGCATATCAGATATTTACATTACGATTCATAACAGTAGCAAAATTACAGTTATGAAGTAGCAACGAAAATAATTTTATGGTTGGGGGTCACCACAACATGAGGAACTGTATTAAAGGGTCTTGGCATTAGGAAGGTTGAGAACCACTGATTTAGACCCTTGATAGGTACCACCTAACAGAAACCCCTCAATGGCAAACATTCCTAAGCCTCAGAACTTCAAGCAGAATTCTGTATATCACAATTCTTGCACAACCAGATAATTTGCATTTTAATTAGTTCTTGATAACAGGACTTGACTTATATCCAGTCTTTGCCAGAAATCCAAAGTAACTCCTCCCAGGGTGGGGGTCTGTAACTGTCATGTGAGGAAGACTCATTCAGGAACAACTAATGAAAAGTGTAGCTCGATCCTTCTACATCAAGCATGTCAAACTCACGGCCCACAGCTCACAGGCCACATGCCTCATTTATTTGGCCCATGTTAGCCTTTGAGTTTGACATGCTTGTTCTACATGGAGACGTGAGTTTCTTTAGCTTTTATCCCTCTTTTGAAATTTTTCCTATTACACTTTTTCTTCCTTTTTAAAAAATGATGAATAGGAAAGTTATTGACCTTTGTTTAAAGTGGTAATTGGGGAATCTCAGGGATGAAAGAAATCAGACTTTAGAGGCTACCGTAAGCATCTGATGATAAAACACTAACACTAATTGAGTCTCCATTTTTCTTTTTCTTTTCTTACTAATGGTAAGGGCCTGGGGGGCAGGGGGAAAGGCAGGGGTGTGCTCCCGGGAGGGAGAGAACCCATTATTCTTTTGAATTATAAGGCTATTCCTTAAAAGAGGATGCAGTGGTTACTTTCATGGTGTCGGCATGAATATTTCTTGACTTGTATCTATATGTAAATTCCGCTATATGATATTCACAGTCGTTTGAAGGTATAGTAGTAAGTCTAACTGTTTGTATTGGTCTTTTCCCCTGATATCTACATTTTTGATGCCTGAGAACAGGAATATAAATTGTTATGTTTAAAAAAATTAAACATTTCTGATCTCTTATTTTTAGAGACACTCCTTAGGATTCGTTTTCATTTTGTTTTCCTTGCTGTTTGTAGAAAATGACCTGCACTCCCTTTCTAAAACCCGTGTATTGGTATCACAGAAGAAAACAGTGTGTTGTTACTCAACCTGTAGGTTCCTATGTCTTGTTCTTACTTGTCCAAAGAAATTCAGTGGTTAAGCAGCTACATAAATCATTAGGCTGGGGATAGACTAGGTTGTCTTTGTTATAATTTACAGTCAGTGCAGGTACTTCTTATCTGTCATGGTATCTGCACTCACCAGTAGCCCTCTCGGGCAGTGGTAACTTGGACCCTCTGTCTCAGCTGTGCTGGCTGGACATCTACCAGCTGTCTGAGCGAGTGGCCTGCAGTGCTGTGCTTCTCCAGCGGTGGCATTAACAAGTAATGAGGCCTGCGAACCCAGGGAGAGCTAGAGAAGCAAAAGGCAGGGGAAAGTCTTCAAAGTGGAAAGTTAAGCCCTGAATAATTGAATCGTCACCCCTGGAATAGATCATTATGCTTGTAGCCATAAATAGCAAGTTTGGGGTTATTTGGCTGCTTTTTGACATATCTAAAAGGGAAAGCAGTAAAATGATTCCTTATAAATGGATTATTTTATTAATTTACATGACAAGTTATCTTATTGGTGAAAATGTTACTTTTTAATTCTAAGGTAGGGCAGAGGTAAGTTTCCTTAAGATTAACTCAGTTAAGAGAAACCGTTTCCTTTGTTGTTCCTGAAATACTTAAATAATTTTAGGATTCCTTTTTAAAAAAATATATTTTATTGATTTTTTACAGAGAGGAAGGGAGAGGGATAGAGAGTTAGAAACATTGCTGAGAGAGAAATATCGATCAGCTGCCTCCTGCCCACCCCCCACTGGGGATGTGCCTGCAACCAAGGTACATGCCCTTGACTGGAATCGAACCTGGGACCCTTCAAGTCTGCAGGCCGACGCTCTATCCACTGAGCCAAACCAGTTAGGGCTAGAATTCCTTTTTTTGTGACTTGAAGAACTTTCATTTGGAAGGAAAATTTAATTCTAAGATTTAAAATTCCCAAAAGTTATCTTTTTCTCCTAAATGTAATAATATTGGCAAGCACTTTGAAGTAAGATGTGAGGTGGTTTGTTTCTTTTTTTTGAGGTGTTTGATTTCTGTTAAACTATTAAACTATGCCACAAGTAAATGGTAATTGCCTGGAAATTGGAGCCAGTTCAGGCCTCTTTCTTCCTACACACCGTGGAGCTAAGGAATGTGCACTGACTCGCCAGATGAGTGACGTAGAAAGAAACTTTTACTCTGCTTGTGCATTTTCTTCCTGCCATTCTGGCAGGGATTATCATTTCTACTTGTCGGATGGAAATGTTGGGGCACAGAAAAATGTAAAGTCACTTGCCCAGAGATACACAGCTAGCAAGAGGCAGGGTCAGTGAGCCCAAGGCTTGACTGTTGAGCAGCTTGCTCCTCACCATGGCGTGTGCCATCTCCCGGAAGAGCGGGTGGAGGTTCTGGGAAGCTGTGCTAACTATCCAGGGGCAGCAAGGTCCTTGACTTGGCAGACGTCAGAGAAACAGAAGAATAGCTGCAAAGTGTCCCCAAGTCAGTGCTATAACATGGTATTAGCAAGAAACCATTTTTGATTTCTATCTATGTAGAATAAATACAAAGAAGACTTTGGGGTCTAGTATTTTTTTGTGGTTGTTGTTTGCTTGTTTTTTCAAAAATGTAACTGGTGTTTAAAGACCTTGAATTTGAACTCCAACGACTTAGATTTAATGACTTGTGAGCCTAGGATGCTCTTTTTAAAATTGAGATATATATTATTACTATAGGAATAAAAATTTTTTTGTAAAGCCATTATGTATGAATCATGTTAGCAGGGCTAAGTTAGGCTTGTTTTTTCTTGATGAGCAAGAAGTGAAATATTTATCACTTTGTGTCTTCCTCTTGAGTCCTATACAATGGTAGCAACATTCCCTTGAACAACACGGGTTTGAACTATGTGGGCCCATTTATGCATTCTCTTTTAAAAGTAAATATGTACAGTACTGTAAATGTGTTTTCCTTGTAATTTTTTAAATATCCTTTCTTTAGCTTACCCTATAGGATTACAGAATATAATACAGTAGGTCCTTGGGTTACGTCGGAGATCCGTTCCTATGGCGCGACGTAATGCGATTTTCACCATAAGTTGGAACCCACCTACATAAGCACCTACGTCACTCACATGGAGCACATACACAGCAGTAATGAAGTGAAACAGTAAAAAAAGTTTAAAAGAAAGATAACAATTTCTGACCTTTACTTGTGGTAAATAAATAATAAAACACATAAAGCACATATGTACGTACGTCGAAATGATGGAACTTTTTTAAAAATAAATACTGTAAATGGGAGATGGCGACGTAACCACGAAATGACGTATATCGAGTCTGACGTAACCCGACGTAACCCGAGTCCGATGTAACCTGAGGACTGCCTGTATAATATAAAATAATCCTATATAATAAAAGGCTAATGTGCAAATAGATCAAACAGTGGAACGGCCAGTTGCTATAATGCGCACTGACCACCAGGGGCAGACACTCAACGCAGGAGCTGCCCCCTGGTGGTCAATGCGCTCCCACAGGAGGAGCGCAGCTCAGCCAGAAGCTGGGCTCATGGCTGGCTTAGCTGTCAGTCAGACATCCCCTGAGGGCTCCCGGAATACAGAGGGCGCAGGCCAGCCTGAGGGATGCTCCTCCCGTGCACTAATTTCATGCACGGGGCCTCTAGTATAATTTAACATACAATATATATGTTAATCGGCTGTTTATGTTATTGGTCTTCAGGTAAACAGTGGGCTATTAGTGGTTAAGTAGTTTTGGGGGAGTCAGAATTTATATGCAGATTTTTAACTGTGCAGGGAGTCAGCACCCCTAACCCTCATGTTCAAGGATCAACTGTATTTGGCAAGCATTGTCCCGAGTAGTTGGTGTCAACTCGGATGTCTCCATTTCCTTCCTGTGTCCCATCTCCCTCTGGGGTACGACACATATCCCTTCATTGACATTGCCACGGTCCTCATGCTGGCCTGCTCTCCTGCTTGATGTTCTAGAAAACTTCCCAGTTGGCCCCTGCTCGATCTCCACGACCTCGTTAGTCTTAATAGGTCCCTAGCTTCCTCACTCCTAAGTGCAGATCTGAAAACATCTTACATGCTTGGAAACTGTTCCCGCAGACTTGGGGCACCTATAACCTAGCCATGACCTCTCATGTATATTTTGTCTCACTAACGCTTCCTGGAGTGGTGCAGCCAACACCACCTTTAGCCTTTCCTCCCCAGAACACTCCCGATTTTGCTTATTCTCCCATTTTGTCACACCCTTCTTCTAAAAAGATTCTTCCTCCTCCTCTAGGCCCGTTCAGACACCATCCATTTTAAGGAGCCTCTCTCCTCGCTCCCTCGTCCACACCTGTGCTAGATTCCTGTCACCTCAGTGGCCGTGTACTGTCCTTATCAGTGGCTGTATTGTCACCACATTCTTGATGAAGCTCAGTAAATAAATGACCAGGGAGCCCCAGTGCACTGCTTCCCGAGCTGGGGCCTGGGCATGTTTTCAAAAGCCTACAGGTGATTCTAAAATGGACTGCATTCTTCCGGGTCTTATCTGCAGTTACCAGGGTGCACAAGTAGGTTTCATTACTGCCTACGCTAACAGAATCCTCCCCTTCCACACAGTGCTTCGCCACAGGGTTCTTGTGAGCTGCCTTTGTGTATTTAGAAAGAGACTCTCGATCAGAATCTTCATAAACTTAACTTTGTGCTTGTGTACCTGGATTTGCAAGGGGTTTTTATTTCATAGATCATGACCTTACTCTCTTTTGATTTGTAATACAAAGTTGCCATTGAAAATAACCTGGTCAGAGTCAGCACTCAGCCCAAATTGAAAAGTCAGAGGAAAGAAATGCGCTTTGTAACCTCGGATTTGGATAAACGGTCTGTAAGGAGTCAGGAGCCTGGGGACAGGGATCCTAGTTGATGAATCTTTCTCAGTCCCAAAGTTTCTGGACTCTTTCAGTACAGAGCGTTTCAAGTCTTTCAGAGCAGGAATAGTAACAAGGTACAGACTGTACCAGTTCTCAAAACCACCCCGCCCTCCTACCCCAAGGATTTGATACGAAAAAGTGCCACTCAGTGGGGAAAATACAATGTTTTTTTCCTATTTCAAGTGTGTGTATCTTTTTGTTTTTTTAATATATTTTATTGATTTTTTACAGAGAGAAAGGGAGAAGGATAGAGAGCTAGAAACATCGATGAGAGAAAAACATCGATCAGCTGCCTCCTGCACACCCCCTACTGGGGATGTGCCCGCAACCAAGGTACATGCCCTTGTCCGGAATCGAACCTGGGACCCTTCAGTCCGCAGGCCAATGCTTTATCCACTGAGCCAAACCGGTTAGGGCGTGTGTTTTTTTATAAGCCGATTTATCGCTGTATATCTTAAAGCACTGATAGAGTTAAAATTTGATGTTATGCCTTTAGGGTTAAAAGTAAATGGTCTTGATCCCATCAAGTAGAACACTTTGCTGGCGGAGTGTTAATAAGACCGCTTACAATGACTTTCAAACATTTTTGACCCTGTCCCATAGGAATGTTTTATTTTTGTGGCCCAGTACATACCACATATATTTGTGAATAATCGAAAAAAGTGTCACAATTGCCCTCACCCTGTTGCACTGTTTTCTTTTCTGTGCTGGTTGCTCCCCACCAATGGGTTTCACCATCCATTTGAAAACACTCGTCAGTCTGTGAGGTACTCACGAAAGCCTCTTGGAGAGCGAGAAGACTTGAATTGGCAGACAGTAGAGCCAAAGGATCTTGAAAGAGACGCATTTTTACCTTGGATGACAGGAGTCTATATCTGATGCTTCAGGACCCCATCCTGGTTCTATGTGGGCCATCTCTTATTAGTTTGAAGGTATCAATGCCCTCCTCAATGCAAGTGAATACAAATGAGGCTGTTGTCAAGGTTCTTAAGTAGCTCAGGGAGGCCAACAGTCTTTCTGAAATCCTATGGACAGAATCTATCCATCCTTCTATCTATCTATGTCAGTGGTTCCCAGCGTGGGGCACATGCCCCACCGGGGGGCATTTGAGGATGAGTTATTAGTGAATTTTTTGCATTTCTTAAATATATAGTGACATTTATGCATTGCAGTTCTCTATTATATGTTTTGAAACTTTATTTGCTAATTTTTTGTATCATTTCATATTATTTTTTAACAATTTCTTAGTGATTTCTTCCTCAGTACTTTAGCTATCCTTTCGTTGTTTTATTTTTCTCTTTCATGGATGCCATGTTCTTTGGAAGCTTGTGTAGACCAAGCTAATGACCTTTTAGGCTTCCTCCACATGAATAGGAGTTCACTTTTTGAATAATAAGAATTATATGTCACGGGCAGGGAGGCGCCATCAGGATTTTAGAGATGTTCAGGTGGGGCATGGCCAAAAAAAGGTTGGGAACTACTGATCTATATATTTAAGTCTTAGAATTAACTAAAGACCTCTATTTTGTAGCAATATTCTCACTCATGATCATTTTTCCCCACAAAAGAAATCTTTGTAGAAGCTATAGAATATATAGTAAAAAAAAAAAAAAAAAAAAAAAAAAGAAGGTCCAGATTCTAAATATTTTGGCATATATATCCTTTCAGACTATTTTTAGTATATATGTATATTTACGTTAAAGAAAATCATTTTAAAACCAGCTGACATACTATATATACTGTTTTGTAACCTGTAAAAAAGATGTTGAAGGTTTCTTTCTATCTTTGTGTGTGTGTGTGTGTGTGTGTGTGTGTGTGTAATTTTTAATAGCTGATACAATTTCATTGTTATGAATTATAATTCATGTATTGTACTTTATATACATACCAGAGGCCCAGTGCATGGATTCGTCCAGGACGTGTCTAGCCCATCTTAGTCCTGATTGGCGGGGCCAGGGCGGGACTGTGGGAGGGCTCCAAGGCGTGTCTGGCCCGTCTTGCCCAGTCCCATCAGCTGGATCCCAGCAGCAAGCTAACCTACCGGTCGGAGTGTCTGCCTCCTGGTGATCAGTGCACGTCATAGTGACTGGTCAAATGGTCAAACGAACAGTCGGACACTTAGCATATTAGGCTTTTATTATATAGGATATTATAAATTAACCAATTTCTCTATTGTAATCCATTTTGGTTGTTTGTAGACTTTAGCTGTTTAAACAAGGCCACACTAAACATTTTTAAAAATATATATTTTTATTAATTTCAGAGAGGAAGGGAGAGGGAGAGATGGATAGAAACATCAATGATGAGAGAGAATCATTGATTGGCTGCCCCCTGCATGCCCTACACCGGGGATCGAACCCGCAATCCGGGCATGTGCTCTGACCTGGAATCGAGCTGTGACCTCCTGGTTCATGGGTCGATGCTCAACCATTGAGCCATGCAGGCCAGGCACACTAAACATTTTTATGTGTGTCTTTATAAAGTTACGTCACAAAAATTTTTAAATGGACTAGGAATTGCTGGTGTATTTGTGTCCCCTTCCCCCCTTTTAATGGTCATTTCTAACCTGTTTAAAGAACTTTTACCTTTTCTCAGAATAGTGTCACCTTTGCTGTTAAGTTGTGAAGTAAATATAATTTGAAACAGAAACTTGACTTACTAGAAACTGATTCTAGTTCTTGCCTTAATTTTCAGACACTACCTGTAACGAAAAACAAAGAAAACAGACTAAGAGGAAACAAAGTTTTCTGCGCGGTGGGTTTCTTACCTAGTGTAGTACCTTACCTGCTTGTTAAATATTCATGGCCTTGTGAGGTGTACCAGCGGCAATTCTAGGTTGTTACACTCTAGGTCAGGAGAGGCTGCTATGGAAAGCAAGTTTTTTTTTATTATTTAAATTGGCTTTGACTTCTTAAGTCTTCAAGTAAATGTAATTGTTGCTGTTAACACTGCCATCTGATGCCACTCAGCCCATTTATGTTTTCATGAAATTTTTTTAATTGTGGAAAGAAAGCTAGGTTGTCTCCGACTACCTATAGGCAATAGGATATGTGACCTATGCTCAGTAGCTCCAGGTGACCCATGGACCATGACAGCTCTTGGTTTAAGCCTTATTAATGATGGATGCATTTGGTGAACATGCTTTCTTTGCTGTTTCAGGCATGTTTATATACATGTATATTTTTAAGTAGTAGAATCAAAGTTACTTAGACCTCAACCCAATGTCCCTTCATCAGTTACAACTATAATTTCTCTAAAAGGACACATGTGATTCCTATATACCCATGTGGATTATAATATACTAGAGGCCCTATGCACGAAATTCGTGCAAGAGTAGGCCTTCTTTTTTCCTGGCTGCCAGCACCAGCTTCCCTGGCACCCAGGAACCGGGCTTCCCTCCGGTCACAGGCAGGCTTCCGGGACCCGGGCTTTCCTCGCAGCCCCAGCTTCATCCAGAAGGTCCTCTGAATGATGTCCGGAAGGACATCTGGTCTAATTAGCATATTACACTTTTATTATTATAGATGTATTGTTAGGTATAACTTCTGGTATTTTAAAAATCACTTTTAAAGTATCTATCTTAAAACAACATTTTATTTATACATTTATTTTGATAATGTAAAATATGTAATAACCACATTGCAAAAAATTTATAGTAAAGGGTTGAAAAAATAAGATCTGTAACCCCTCTAATTTTAACATTAGTACTATGGGCTGTTTCTTTCCAGGCTTTTTTCTTGTGTGTAGATTTTACATTGTTGTAAGCAGACATTTCAAAACCAGTATCTTTAAGCGAATATAAATTTAGATGTATCAAAAGGCTAATGAGAAAAAATTTTATACCAAATCATTAATTACTAGAATTCTAACTTTCTCATGTATTATTCCTTCTAGTACAGTGATGGCGAACCTTTTGAGCTCGGCGTGTTAGCATTTTGAAAAACCCTAACTTAGCTCTGGTGCCGTGTCACATATAGAAATTTTTTGATATTTGCAACCATAGTAAAAGACTTATATTTTTT